GTTAAATTCTCTCTTGGTGGACAACAAAGTCTGTATTTACTAATCACCCCACCTATTTTATTACCAAGAATTATACTAATAGATATATTAAACAGCAGCCTTTCCAAAAACCTATAGACTATAATGTTGCTAAGGTTAAAGTACACAAAATCTCAGGCTTTCCAGGTGACTGTTTTAAATGAAAGCAAAGTGGCTGTATGGAAAAGCAAAGCAAGCAGGATAAGACACATAAGTTAACTGTTGGTGTCAACAGCAACACTTGAACTAGGGTTATTGTGACTTTCTTGAGTTACACTCTTTTATATACAGTCTATGTTAACACTTAATAAAAAGAGAAGTCTGTCCTGCAAGTTGCAGAAAAACTTGACCCAGCATACTTGCACACGACCGTCACGTGCGTAGAAACCTGATGTAGGGAGTGCATTAGCCCGGACTGTGGGTTATGGTTGTGCCAAGTGTCAGCCCACATTTAAGTTACAAGTAAAAACGTAATTAATTGCGAATTTATTTGGTTATATTATATCGGAAGGTATGACTAGGAAAGTTAGCTGGTTTTAAAGACTTATTAACATCCAGCCTTTCTGCTGGCAGCTAACGTTAGCTCACTCAACAACTTAGATGTTAACCGTGTAGATAAAAATAAACCCTACCTTCCATGTCCCCAGACCCACAATGGGAATTTGTGCACCGGTGTTCAGTTTCACTGTTGTCGCCATTTCTCCAGAGAACTTACGGAGCCTTTCTGCAGTTGTCAGACGTGAACGTCAAGACAGCAACTTGAGAGCAAAGTGTCCGCACTACAGACTGTGATCCTTACAAAACATCCATGGCACAAAACAGCAAGATTCTGCTTCTGCTGCTTCTTCTGACATTATTGGCGGTTGGCTAACAGCTCTTGGGTGCATTACCGCCACCTACTGACCTTGACTGTGCACCACAGTCTATAGTGTGGACTAATGATCTCTCCTCTCTCTAAAACGTGTACAAAACATAAAGAAATACAAACAAAAATAGAAACAATTAAATAAAAACAAATAATTATTAATATATAATATTATAATTAATATGTAAACAAATAATTATAATAATTCTGAAATGAAAGGCTATTCATTAGTCTCGTTGATCCTTAATACTCTAGAAGGATTTTCCAACCCTTGTCAAGTGAAGATTTGTTTTAGAATATTACTGATATTTTACTCTCCTTTCTCTCTAAGTGCATTCTTTAAGACTCTCTCTGAGTCATACTTCTGGCAATACAATAAAGCATGGTCCACTGTTTCTTCCTCTCCACAATATCTTTTAATATGCCTTCAAATCACAAGATTTGTTTAGACCAGTATGACCATTCCTTTTTCTTTTTATAATCCTCCTCCTCTTTCCTATTTCATCCTCCACCCTGCATTCCCAACATATGGATCATTTTTAAAACAGGTATCTTCCTTTTCTTTCTTTGTCCCATTCATTCGGCCAAATCTTTAAGATTTGTCTCATAATCACCAGTTTAGCTTCTGACTTTCTAATATTTAGATTAATGTGATTACTCCCAGTCTTTAACATCTGTCTTGCTGCAGGGACCTACACAAACCTAACTGACAAACATGTTTGGTGAATTCTGAATAATGACATAACACCTGAATAATGTAGTATTTCAAACAAGAAACCCTCTCTACTCCCACAGATGCAACATTTTAAACTCATTAAAGGTGCATGTGAATCAGATGCAATTGCCACTCTAACTGGCCTGACCTCCTCTAACTATTGCAAAGCAATAATCATGGCCATCATCCATACGCATCTGTTTTCGCATACACACATATACACTCATTGTAGGGTTTTTAGAACCATCTGTACAAATATGTAAATAACCGAGATAATTCCTTCTGATGGATGAATGAAGATTTTATCATTTTCCCCATGTTTATCTCTCATCAATTCAATGAGGCTAAGATCTATCTCTGGCTGTGAAAAGAAGAAACATTATTTAGCCTTCCCCTTATCCACCAAACAGCTTGCTGGAATAGTTCTTCCCACTCTTACATCTTAAGCGTCCATACAACAATTTCCTCATCCTCTAAAACTACCCTGCTTCCACTACTTTACATAAAATGAGATAATGATCACTTACAACAGTTGAATGATTCATTACCTCACCTACAGCAAGACTATGACGCAAATGCCATGTTTAAACTTGACTCCCTGCCTGTTATACTACAATTAACTGTCTTGAAACTCCCACCACTTAAACACACCCAATTCCCAAGGTGTCCATCAAATCCTCCACTAACCATTCCTATTAGTTATATCTCCTAATCTAACTAGATCTCCTAACCTAATCTAGTCCCATCATTGTTTCCAGTGCTTTCAATTCCAACCTATTACACGGACTATAGAAATTCACAATATCCAAACAACCATCCCCTAACCAAACTTCAACAACTACTTCCTTTTTTCTATTTCTCTATACAAAACATATTGCTTAACAAAATCAAAATTAGATTCAAGCCATGTCTCTACTTGAAACCTGTGACCATGATTTTTTTGATTAACTGTTCCTGTTTGCTTAGCCCTTCTTGAAAAGCCATCCCTTCCAGCCTTCCACTTGCTTGGAACGTGTGGTTAATTACTCCAGCCATGAAATACACAAAATTCCCCTTATTTAGCAGCCATATATTTCCATCGCCCATCTGACGGTTTGTCACAAGTTTTTCAGTTGACTGTTCCTTCTCTATTTCTTTCTTCTCCAGCATGCTCTCCCACTGAACCAACTCTGCTGCTTCTGCATAATATATAGCCATGTTCACTCATAGTCTCCTCATTCACTTCACAACCACCATGTGCACCTCCATAGTTAGCACATTTACTCTCTGTGCCATCCTCAAATTTCCTATGTTCCCCGCTACACCTTCCACACTTTTGTTTCCCTTTACATCTGGTTGTAATATTTATTTCTTTTAAGGTTTCTTGCTTTTTGAAGCATCTTGAAGGAGGTGGACATATGATCTAAGATTGACCTCAAATTCTCCAGCTTTTACTCAACTGGGATACCAAATACACTCACCAGCCACTCTATAAGGTACACCTTGCTAGAATTTAGCCATGATGTTTGAATATTCCATGTGTCTAGCTTGATAACTACTAAATACCAGAATAACATTTAAGATGTTTATTAAAATGTTTATTAGGATAATTTTAAAGATGTTTATTAGGATAATTTTAAAGATGTTTATTAGGATAATGTTAAAGATGTTTATTGAAGGAATTGTCGTATTGTCGCAGGCCGTATCAGAGGCGAAGGCAAAGGCCATAATTTAGGCCGAGGGACAATAGGGCCTTTATGGATTTTAACTAATTGTTGCTAGCACCTGCCCTCAGGCCGGATAAAATACATGAATGACTAGACACATGAGTACAATGGGCCTTTACAAGTGGACTGCAACTCTAAAGGCTCTGAAGATTATCATGTGATACAGTACAGAGCACAAGAACCTGTGCTTGTGTTGATGTTAACTCTCTTTTGTCTATTGCACATACACTTTTTGCTAATATCAAGATGCTGTCTTATTTCTGATGTCACATTTCAGTCTTATTTATTTAGAGGTGTTGTAGGGTAGAATACACTAGATGGAGTTGGAAGTGGAGGTGGGTCTGACCTTAACAAGAGGAGGAGAGAGACAGGGTATATCAATCAATCAATCAACATTTATTTATATAGCACTTTACAGCAAAGTGCTTTACATTAACCAAAAATAAACAACACAGCATTCAATAAAAGACAAGAAAAACAAAACAAAACATGAAGCCTAGAAAACAGTAAGCTAGATAAGGTTACCTAAAATCATCAGAAGAAGAGGGAAGTTGTTGCACCACTACTGCGTATTAAAAGCCATTCTAAATAAATAAGTTTTAAGTTTTGATTTTAAATGAACAACATCCGTTATAGTGCAAATATCTCGGGGGAGCTTGTTCCAGAGTTTTAGGCCAGCCTTAAATTCAAGCTGGCAATTAATAGCGTGTAGTATGACAATTCTTTATCATCATTTCTAAAGGAATTGTGTGAGAAATTATTGTGAACAAGCATTGGTTACACATAAAATGAAGGAGTGTCCTTAACCTTGCTGAAAATTAAAACACAGCGAAAGTAACTTATTTAGATTCTTTTCAGCAATAATATCAACAACAGATAGCAACAACATGGTAACATAACTACTCAAATAGAGGCAAACGTAATCAAGTAACTAAAAGATTATTTAATTAAACAGGTAATGCTTTGAGTCTTTGGAGACTGCAGTCTTTGTTTAAATAAAGTTCAGGGCTGTCCTTGGTGTCCTGGATTTTGTCACACCTGGGTGAGAAGGAGTATCCCTTTGATGAGGTAATGAAACACAGAGCAAGGACAGTTGCCACGGTTACATGTGTGTGGGTGTGGGGGGGGGCAGTTTAGGGTTCCCTTTTGTCAGTTTAACAGTCAGGCACTGCGTTATCAGGCTACGATCAGGCTGCTCAGGAACAGCACTTAGGGAAAGTGACCTTTCCACCCTCTTTCTGTTGGGGTCTCTTCAGCCGTCTGCTGAAAGTTGATGTCAAACCCCCTCCTCCTTCTCTCAGGAAGAGAAAAGAGGAGTTTGGAGTAGTCCAAATGTATTTAATATAAAATGCACAAATCCACACTGTCGGTTCACTACACTACACATCCCTATTCTGATGCTCAGTTTGAACTTCTGCAAGTTGTCTTGACCACATCTACATGCCTAAATGCATTGCGTTGCTGCAATGTGATTGGCTGATTAGCTTTTTGTATTAACAAGCAATTGAATAGGTGTACTTAATAAAGTGGCTGGTAAGTGTACATTTGTGTGTGTACCTGTGCACAGCAGCTCGTTCATTCCCTCAGTCTCACTATAAGCTTTTCTGACCCCTAGTGGTCATTAAGAGGCACTGTCACCTGCCTGAGCAGTATCTTCACTGTTGGAAACGTGCATCCACTTGTTTAATTTTCTTCCACAGGACTTTATTTTCAGCACTCAACAAAAGAGCTCATGGGGAAAAGCAACTGAAAGCAACTGTTTGGTAACAGGGTTAATTCACATGATTATTAAGTGTCATACATACTCACAAGAAAGAGTTTTGTACTGCATGTGGCACACATTTTGTTTTTTCCAGTAACTTTGAATGTCACACAGACAAAGTAAGACTTGGAAAAAAAGCAAATAAAAAACTGTGTTCAAGTAAACTAAGAAACTTGAAAATCACCAAATAAGGAGAGTCTGTATGCAGCTGGTTACCATTTAGCATTGTAAACCTTTATTTTCAGAATTTAGCATGGAATGGGTAGTCCTTGTGCTTCATGCCCCTAAAGACACAGAAAATAAAGAAAAGGAAACAATTTTTAAATAGATGCCCAACACACAACATCTTCTTAATGTTACAAAAAAAGACCACTACGATCTCACCATTCCATGGGACAGATTCTCCAGTTCCTGTTGAATCCTAAAATAGTCTTCATTTCCTCCTCAGTTAGTTTAAAGTCAAACACCTGCAAAGATTTAAATGAATGTCTTCACGCACGAGCCAAAATGGTAAGTAAGTGAAGCAGATTGAGGGCTAATCCTAGAAAATATCTTCTCAGCTAATTACCTGGAAATTCTCCTGAATGCGCTGAGCTGTGATCGACTTGGGGATCACGATCACGTTCCTCTGGATGTGAAAGCGGATCAGGACCTGGCAGGGAAGGAGAAAGGGTATGACTTTAAGTGTAGTAACAGTAAGGGCCATACAAAGGGTATTTAAATCAAACACATTTTCCCTTTGTGCGTTTGTGTTAATGTCTGCTACACTATGGACTGAGAACAAACTCAATGACATGTTTTTCTTTAAGAGAAAATATGGATATCCATTTTTTGTGTGTGCACATTAACTATTTTAAAGTTCATTAAATTCAGTTTCATTTAATTTGTTCCAGCCAGTGTGAGTGCTGTACTTGGGCAGGGGTCTTGTTGTACTTCTCGGCAATGGGTTTAATGTTCGGATCATCCAGCAGTGAGGGGTCTTCAGGTGTAGCCCTGCAATGTAAAATAAGTCATCCAGTATTATTAACAGGACTCATACACATTGCATTATTTTAAAGGGTAGACAAAATAATGGCTAATAATGGCAAAATAATGGCTAGTCAAACACTACTACAAAGGTGGGCAGCTGTGAAACATGTCTAACCGTCAACACCTTTATATGTGGCTTTTCAAGGCCAATTCTCTGAATAAAAAATAAACATAATGTAAAAATAAAAATAAAATTATATTGACCAAAATTATAAACGCAACACTTTTGTTTTTGCCCCCATTCATCATGAGCTGAACTAAAAGATCTTTGTCTATGTACTCAAATATTGTTCACAAATCTGTCAAAATCTGTGTTAGTGAGCACTTCTCCTTTGCCGAGATAATCCATCCACCTCACAGGTGTGGCATATCAAGATGCTGATCAGTATATTGCACAGGTGTGCCTTAGGCTGGCTACAATAAAAGGCCTCACGAAGATTTTGTTCAGTGCACATCTGCAAGCAGCACTCAATGCCCTTCGATAACCTTACGAATAGCATAACTTTTCATCTTCAGTGCCTTTAGATTGCACAGCGATAATTCAAAGTCAATCGGATTAATTCTGTAGGAGAAGTTTGTACGGAACTTGTGAGCCTACATCGCCAAAAATGCCCATTAAATCCAAAATGACAGACTTACTTTTGGGGTTAGGGCATTACTTCAAGATTCCTTTTTTGTGGGTCTGAACATGATATATCTGTCACAAAAATTACACATATTTTGAAAAAACGTGACCCGGGGGCTGATCCTTAGCTAGCGAGCCATTTTGCCATGGCCAAGCACAAAATCCTATGACACGTAAAATTTTTGCAGGACTTTGTTTTGTGACTTTTTGAGCATGTTTAAACCACCAAAAATGCGCTTCGTTTGCAGAAAGAAAGAAAAAAGAAATCTTTTAGTACTTACTAAATCATGCCACACACAGACAAACTTTTTAGACAAAGAGGAACAACAGTCACAAGTTCAAACAAAAAAGGGATATGAGACATAATGGTGTTGACAAATACTGAATCTGTATTCAACCAAATATGATCCACTTTGTAGCAGCGTGATGATAAAAAGTCATTTCTCATGTTATTTTGACACAACTATTATTGCCATACTAACTGACCAGGGTCTGTCAGGGGAGCCCAAGGGGCTGTAAGCCGTCACTGAGATGCCCTGAGAATGGCAGTAGTTGATCAGCTTCTCCTGTGTCAGGTATGGATGGCACTCCACCTAGTGGCACAAACACACAACTCTTAGGATGCATTGCAGAAATCACAGAGATGCATAAACCACATGAAATAAATACCAAGTGGGCTACATGTATGCCACGTTATTCAGGCCATCAAAAGATACTCTGACTATGTTTTTGAAGCTACTAATAGCTAAAACATAAAACAAAGATTTTGCTGCTTTGAGCAATACAAGGTGTCATTCATTAATAACTTTATTGTTGCTTCAAACTGTCAATTTAGTGTCGTTTAAGGACACAGTGTACATGTAAAATTAATAGTATTAAAGGTACTAATATATCACTTCCTGCTTTGTGCAAAGGAAGTTTTTGCAAAGTAAAGTTAAAACGTATTCTAGCATGTAGATTATAACAGGCACAAGGGTAGATTTGTACTTGTTTAACATTATTTTAAGGGATAAATTTACTCATATTTAGTATATGAGTGTGCTTGTTCTGTGATGGGTGACAAAGGAGGAAGGAACATGCATTGTAATTGAATACACAACAAGAGCAGATGAAAGACATCATTTATTTCTCAGACCTGACAGTAGGAGACAGATAATGTCATTATGGACTCTTGTCCTTTAAAAAACAGCAATCTTTAAATGTATCCGAGTCGAGGCTACTGAGCAGCAAGAAAACAAACATGCTATTCTTAAAAAGGCTGCATATGGGCGTTTAAACAGCAGCTGGCCCTTACAGTTATCGTGTGAAATGTGTCATCTCTTTGTTCTACGCATGTGTATTGAGCAACAGTATCATTGGAAGGTGACTTAGTGTACCTGATTGTTGGCAGGCTTGTATTTAAGGCCTGGCTTGTTGAGAATGGCTTCAATCTGGTCCTTGTTGAAGTTGGAGACACCAATAGCTTTGACCAAACCAGCATCCACCAGCTCTTCCATTCCCTGAGAAAATTAACCACAAAAAACACATTTACTTTGCCCTTTGCTGAGATTATGTTCAGAGACTATAGCTCATACTAAATCCTATTTGTGCCTCTTAAAAAAGCCATAGCTCCTGTTTGACTCCCTTGCTATAGTTAGCACATCATTGATTCCAGGTCTTGCACCATCACCTTTTAAGCTTGCACTAGCATAAACTGGTCTCAAAATTCCCAGCTAAGATCCATCCAGCTATAAAATGCACTAAAAGTTGCTACAACTCCATTCTGACTTCTTGCAAATTGTTGGTTATAAATTCTTGAGAAATGCTTGAGTTATAAAGACTTGGTGAGATTTAGAGGGACGGCTCTCCTTCTCGGTCCGTGACACTGGGTTATCCATTTACAACTTGTGTCTGGCATTTATTTTCTTTATTTTCCTGGGCGTGATGAGTTACGCTAGGAGTGTTCATCTTTGAATCTTACATCTGTTATAATTGAGTGGTATGTCTGTTATAACTCACCTCCCATGTATCAAGGAAGTGGGTATCATCACTAATTGCCTCTCCTCCGTTGTCCAAAGAACTAAGGTCACCGCTATCCTGTAACATGACCATGGGATTACTATGACATTGACAATATGGAGGCTCACTCCTAGAAACTTAATTCACAAATAGGTGTGGAGACATAGTGTAGTAGACGTAGCCATCAATACAATCATTGGAAAATGAAGACAGGGTTTTTGGATTTAAGGGCAGCGGACCATGATCCATCTGGCCCAGACAACCAGCGCCATGGCGGGTGCGGTGGAGAGGAAAGTGAGCTGGGTTAGGAGAACCTAATGCTGCTCCTAAAAGTCTGGTCTAGACAAAATGGGACTCATGTTGACCAAGCAACGGAATTCTGAGACTGTTGTGCCCTCATCATTACAGAGCCCTGACCTATCAACATCCCGGATCAAGCACTCAGCAGGTTGTCCATGTTCCGGGCTGCCAGCGCAAGACTTCGGCGAGATGAGAGGAGGTGGACTGTGTTTTACATTGATGACGCTTGATGCTCAAACGCAGTCAAGATGGACTCGGTTTCCCAAACGACTGTTAATTGTGAAGATGAAACCATATTATCATATGTTGCTGCTGTTTACATTCACCCCAGATGCAAATTCAAAAAATGCACTGCTGAATGTTCTTGGTGTATACGTGTATGTATATATGTACATAAATAACTGTATATATTGTTTTATTTTATATGTTACCATATTCAAATATACAATTAATTATATGTTGTGTGTGTAGCATGAAGGGAATACAAATTTTGTTTTGTTATTCAGCCTTGTGCTGCATAATGACAAATAAATAACCTTGTACCTTGTAGTAAAAAGGCAGTGTAACATAAGGGACATTTGGTATAACATTCTGTGCATGCCTGCTCATAGACACAGATTCCCCCTACATCACGAGAACACATATTTTCACACATTGTTGAGAAGACAAGTGTGCCTACCTTTAAACCCATTGGCAAGTGCACTAGATAGAGGTCTACGTAGTCCAGTTTAAGATCACTGAGAGTCTTCTCACAAGCTTGCCTCACCAGTGACTTCTCATGGAAAATGCACCACAGCTATGAAATGAAAGGGGCAAGTCAATGAGCTACCACGCTCGCTGAGGAATCCAGCATTAAAACACAGTTTAGATATAGTTCTGATGCCTATTTGTGGAAGAAATAATAGTGCCATGCCATAGACTGTGTAAAGGGCCATGCACATCTCACCTTGCTAACAATGAAAAGATCCTCCCTCTTGACCACGCCATCCTTGATCATGGAATGAACACCCGCTCCCACCTCTGCCTCGTTCTCGTAGACATACGCTCCATCGATGTGCCGGTAACCCGCTGAGATGGCCGCTTTCACCGCCTCTGTGACTTTGCCAGGGGGAGACTAACAGACAGGGATGGTTAGTTATTGTGGTATACATAATAAGTGTAACTACTACTCACTAACACTGGTTACAGAATAGCAGCAACTCTGTGTCTCCTATCATCTAGACACACTGTTCCAAAACACCAAGGATAATACTTTGTATGGTGTCAGTACACCGTATATTTATGGCTCATGTTTTGCTATATTCTGCTACAGTGTACCCCACATACAAATTGTGCAAAAAAAAAAAAAAAAAATCAACAAAAATTTTAGATGCTAATGTTTAGTTCTTGGTACCATTTGGTTAGAAAAGAGAAATAAGATAAGTTAATTTATATTTTGTTCTTGGGGAAATGTGTCGATAGAACACATAACTGTTGGTGTGTCTATAGCAACACGTGAACTAGGGTTATTATGTCTATGGAGAATTACACGCAATGTCCTTATACATGGGTTTCTTGAATACAAACACTGTTGGATGCGTCCACATTCAGTTTTGTAGCTGGTCAGAAGACTCTGGTCAACCATTGCAATCAACGTAGATTTCATATTGTTTGTAAATTCTTGTTGATTCAATAATAAACTGCCATTTCAGAGTAGGATCTGTTTGTTTGTATTTCATTTAAATATTTATATAACGTGCGCGACTGTGTGGCAACAGGTAGGCCACAATTATGTCCCTGGGTAGACCTTATGTTGTTCAAGTCAGCTATTAGCCAAAAAGCTAAAGGAAGTATGAAGAAAGATTGAGAGATGTGTTCTTTCCACAATTGTAATATGCCATTAGGCCTACTGTGTCACTGTCTAACATGCAAAGAACATTGTCATCTGTTGTAAACTGCGACCAGCAAAAAGCTTTCAACTGCGAAAAATTCTACATCTCATTTATTGAAGCATATGCCAAAGCAGCACAGCAATGTGAAACTCAGACTGCAGGCCAAAGTGACAATATATATATGTGACTCAGATCTGATTCTTGAACATTGTGAACAGCATGGAATCTGATCTTTTCCAGTTCGGATGTGAGCCACTTTCTTTACAGGTCGAATCTTTTGAAATGCGACCTCTGTCTTGACCATAGACTGGAGGTCTTGACAGGCAGATTTGAATTCATGCGACCATGACATCATGCAACAGCTGCCAATTCTGCTGTGGCTGGGGTGGGTAGTACTGTCTTTTAGTATCCTTTGAGCTCAGCGCCTCACCTCACCGATATCACCGATGCTCAGGAGATGATCTTCTGAGCAGTTTTAATCACCCGCTGCAGAGCACTCCGGTCCTGGACCGAGCACATCCCATGCCAGTTAGTGTTGTTTTCAGAATGCTTTCTATTGCTCCTTTGTAAAAGCTGACAAGAACTTGGCACAGGAATTTGACCTTCGTAAGCTTCAACTAGATATACTGTCGTTTCTGAGCTCTCTTCACCAGCGTGGAGATGTGAGATGACCATGTCAGGTTCTTGGAGATGCTGATTCCCAGGGCCCTGAAACTGTTCACCTGCTCCACCTCAGGAGTTTGTGTCTTTATGTCCTTTTTCCTGAAATCAATAATTAGCTCCTTGGTTTTGCTGATGTTGAGCAGTAGCTAGGTTGTTCTCTGTGCACCACTCTGCAAGATTTTCAATTCCCTCCCGATATGAAGTTTCATCATTGTTTGTTTGAAAAATTAGTGTAGCCTAAAAAGTAACTTATTAAAATTTCTGAGTAACTTGTCCAACACTGCTACTAGATATGCCGCATAGATATGAACAGAGTGCTGCTTTCTGCCCCCTACATGTCAAACTACATTTAAGTTAGGCTACATGTAAAATGCAATTAATCGCAAATTTATTTGGTTATATCGGCAGGTGTGCCGAGGACAGTTAGCTAGTTTTTACGACTTATTACCGGTCTCCAGTCAGCCTTTCTGCTGGCACGTTCAGTTCAACAACTTACTGTGTAGGATTAGAAAAAACATAGGCTTACCTTCCATGTCCCTAGACCCACAATGGGAATTTGTGCACCGGTGTTCAGTTTCACTGTTGTTGCCATTTCATCAAAGGACTAGTGGAGCATTTGTGCGGTTGTAAGTCGTGAACGTCGGGACTGCAAATGCAGAGCGGCGTTATATAGGCTACAGTCTATGGTTCAGCCCCGACAAAACGCAGCAAAATGTTTTATTTCAACGGAAACGGAAATCAAGAGGGCAGACCTTTACTGCCTTTTTAACACCGCTGTTTACAAACTGATTGGGTAACACCTTTGACACACCCAGCCTAATAAGCCAATTCCGTAAGTCTATCTACTGCAAATATTTGGGTAGGATAAATCAAACAATACTATTTTTATTGTAGGTAGGGTTGTCCACCTTCAATACAGAAAAATGAGGGACACCCCATAACTTAGTATTAAGATTGATATTAATGGACATTTTAATAAGCTATCTGCTATTGAAATCAGTGTAAACAGATGCACTCAGTCTCTCTCTATCACAACTCAACAGACTAGCATCATATTGTCATAGCTGAATACACTATGACAATAATAAACATAGGCCAACAACATGTGACAGTGAGACCACAAAATAATAGGATGTGAACTGTATTTTATTAACTTATTAAATCAACATGTCCATAACTTATTTATTAACTATAAATAGGCTAAAACAAATGCTTTGATACAATTAGGTTGGAAAGACTTTTGCAAAGGATTTGCCATGAACGTCATGAACATCAGTGGATTAGAAGTAGTAGGCCTTGTGTGTAGTATTGGAGCATGTTAGGCCTACTTCTTTCTATAAATGTTTTCCTGTCAGAAGTACAGTACTTGTGCAGCACTGAGTAGCTGTTTGTCTTTCAAACAGCTACAGAAAAACTATGACCTGACTGCTCAAAGTTGAGAGTGATCAAAAGCTAATGAGCTCCACAGAGCACGTGTTCTTGCCTCACTTTGTTGGTCATTCTGGAAAATATCCTTCTCACATAACCAGTGGATGCTGAGATGTTTATGACGTAGCTGTTGATGAACAGGATAAGAATAATGATAATGAACTTGAGTAATAGGGTGGCGTGAACACAGATTTTGGCTAAAATATTTGTCATTGTTTGCAGTAATACTATCCAAACAGTTAAAACCACACATTAATAACCTATCTGCAAACATTTCTAAATTTAATTTATCACCATTTTTATGTTTGGTCAGTAAATATATATTGTATTTATTTTTTATTTAGCCTTTTATTTTGTTAAATCTATATTACTGAAGGAAGCAATTCTATAGATTGGTTAAGCATAACACATAGTTGCTTATATTCTTCACCTAGGCACCATGTTCTGATAATTAAATGTGTATCTTATCTCTATAAATTAATGCTTATGTGTCTGACTGTATACTCAACCTTAAAAAACTAATTATACCATAATGTAGGCATGTGCTTTATTTACATTGCAACAATATTTCTTAACAAATAGGCAGCACATGAAATCCATAGTAATCAATCAGAAAATTCGTATTAAGTCATTACACTGCCTCGGCATGCTATCACACTTCTGACAGGCCACCGTGCACCACACAGAACACTGGCCGACAAAATGTGCAGTTTGGCTTGATACTCATCAAGTAGGCTATTTGATTTCTTGCCCCTGAAATGAAACCGTGTTAAATATTGAAATAAGACAATTCTGCAAACACCCTAAGGTGCTACTGTGTGCATGCTATACTTTGCTTAAGTGACAGTCTAAACCTTGTTAAATATTGATATAAGACAATACTACAAACAACCAGTACAAACTACAAGTGTATTGTAATGTTATCTGTTTGGCAAGAACCTAACACAACAATAGATATGCATGCAACATACTTTCCTTAATTGACAGTCTGAACCTTGTTAAATATTTACAGCTCCCCTCCAGCCAGTTTCAACTGACGTTTTTGGTAAACGTTTTTTTTCAAACAATTGGGTTGGTGTGGTTAATAGTCAGTCCTAATCAATTACCATGGAAAATCTATTACTCTGCTGAACTTTGCTATTTTGTCTACAGTTAGAATTAAAATCGTATACTTGATCTTCTAGGCCTACATGTAAATTTGTCTTACTATGAACTTTACTATAAAGATAAATAGTAAACTGGAGACATTCAAGTATACAGTCTGTGGTTCGAACTGAACCTGAGTTATTTCTGTTTCTATATTACGAGAAACAAAACATTCTCCATATTTACATCACCACTTATATCACACTGACGATGATAATAATTTCATGAGGTTTAACTGTAGATATTGTGTCCCTTTTCCCAGGCATGCCACTATGCAGCTTATAGGCAGGTTTTCTGCTGGGCCTAAAGCAGGCACATTAGGAAGTCCTTACCTTTATGTGGGCATTTACAAATTTTACCACCAAAACACAAGATTGGAACTTTTCTAAATATGTGTGGATGTACCAAATGTGAATGGTAAAAATAAAAAATTGTCCCATTTAAAACTAGAAAACAATCAAGAGCAAACCAAAGCTGTTGAATAGTGAGTACAGTGACTTATACTATCTTGAGAACAAAAAAATTCCTACCTCAAGTGTTGGCTGAGTGCGTTTACCAGATTTCATTTGATTTGAGGTTTTTGAGATATTTCACAAATAGGCAAATGAGCCGAGGATAATATTAATTGAGGACTGTTGTGGCTTTGCCTTGATTTATAATACCATTATGGTTGAAATGCATAACTATCAAGAAAAACATGTAGAGGCTATGTGTGAAAAAACACAGAAACATAGACAACAGGTAGGACATTTGTAAAATCTAATTTTTCTTGTATTCTGTGAAGTGTTGAGGCAACGCTGCCACCTAGTGACTAAAAAGTGCTAAAATGAAGTAAAAAGAATATTACTAATGGTAAATACCTACTTTCTGTTTATTAGATTCACCAAGCTAAAACTATTGCAGTGCAATAAATTATATTTAAATGCAGGATATAATGATTTTTGTTAGTTGTATAACATCTTGTTCTAGTGTTTTTACGCCTACCTTTTCAAAATGGCTGAAACTGTTTTTAAAAACAGAATTTTTACTTTAAAGAATTACTTGTGATGTATGTTGTAACTGGTTCCAGTATGCTGTGTTCATAGATGTTCTGAACGTGGTTCACCATCACATCTCAATTGGAGTGGAAGCTGCAGTCGAGTACAGATGTTTAATAATGGTTGGTCTCCACAGATTCAGGTCCTTCCTTTCTGCCATAAGAACGACCTGTACGAAGTTTATAATGCTCCTTCTCTTGTTGACAAAACAAGCAGAGAAGCCACACACTTGTGGTGCCAGTACTCATTATTGAAAATTAACCAAAAGTTTTGGCTATATAAGTTTTCATCATCAGAGTAGCTACAACCTATGATTGTTCAGCTGCTCTTGTCACTTCTTTGCCTCTTGCTTGGCCAAAGCCATGAGTGCTCCACTGCGTGAAGTAGTAGTAGTAGTTTTAAGATATTCGACAGACATTCACTCAGAACTCAGTTTCCCCCGTGTTGGCAGTATCAGGGCGATTAGCTCACCTCCGAGGGCTCACTCTTAACCACCGGGGGTTGGCTTAGAGAACCATCAATGAATGACTAGTGTTATTAATGTGTTATGGAAAAATCATCATTTATTTCAATAGATTCTGTGTCATGTGATTAAGGGACTCCAAAGCAATGCCGAATTGAATTACAATACTGGGCAAATACTTCATATTAGATTTGAGTGCATATTTTATTTTATATTAATATTTATTAATATTTCTATGGAAACAGGTTTTTTCCCCAGGGACTCCAAACCAATGCTGACTTGTAGTACGACACTGGGTAAATGAGATGCACCCCTTCATATTAAAGTTGAGTACACTTTCGATTTGATATTCATTTTTATAAATATTTTTCTAGAAAACACACATATTAGGAAAAAGCTGAATATACCATATACAAGGCCTTTCAAAAAGGGCACATCAGCTGTGTCCTTGGCTTTATAAAATAGAATATTATTTTATTTTTTATTAACACACACAAACACAATTTTTACTGTTTTATTTCCTTATTTAATGAAATGTATGAAATTAATTGTCCTTATGTAATTTATATGTAGCTTTGGCAATATTGTTGCTATACATTCATGCCAATAAAGCTAATACTTGCACACTAGTCAACTTCATCGCTTTCTCTCTCTGCTTCTCATCTTACACTTGATTAACAAACCGCCATCTTCCACACTCTGACCATCAAAATATTGCCAATTTTCTCCTTCAACCCATGAGTCAATGCCACAGGACCAAATTTCTTTATATAATTTTCTTCCTTGAACCACAAAATAAGTTAATTCTCACAACCCTACTCCCAACTACTACCATCTGCACTACTGTGTTTTCCAACTCGTTTATTTTTCTGTACTTCACTCCAGGCATTTAAATCCATATGCTCATTCCCACCCTCACACTCACCATTCCCTGCCATCCTGAGTCCAGCCACAGATCAGTTTTTGCACAATCCGATATCTGATATCCACCGTTTTGTCAGTTTGACAAATAAACACAAACTTCTCATTTCTGTGCTACTCTTTTCCAACTCTTACAATCCACCTCATTCTGTTAAAGTATCAGATCTTTTAGTAAAAATACAATATACAAGTCTTGCATTCAAAATTGTACGAAAGTAAATGTAGGTATTATAGTTAATTATGCTAAAATTTAGGCTAAGTCTTACAGCTGGCTTAATCGATACTATTTTATTTACTATTCATGTTTTGTGTGTGAAATCTTAATCCACAATGTAAAGCACCACAAGCACAGAACTTGTGCATGAAAAAGTGCAATACTATTATGTAAATAGCAGAACGAATGCACATTGGTGGGCAACATGTTGGAAAGATTAAAATCTCTTTTGCAAGAGACGCAGACGCAGCATAAAGGAACATAAAGGACAAGTTTCCAACATATAAAAGACATCAATCATACATACATAAATAACACAAGCCCCTGTGTTGAATAAGGCAGAATACAATGACCAATATTCACCCACTCCATATCCTTCAGAGTTGAAACAAACTGTCTATAAGAAATAAAGGCAGTCAGTTTCTTATGAGTTCTGAAGAAGGTTCCAAGCAGAAGGTGCAGCAAACATGAAGGCTTTTTTACCTAATTCTGTTCGGACACGGGGGACCAAC